TTGATTTCTATACAATCAAAACATTCCCTAATATACGGAGCCACACCACCGCCTCTCCTTCCTTGTCTATCCCTTCTGAAGAGCTTATAGCCATCCATTGCAGCACTCCAGTCATGAGAGTCATCCCACCATGTTTCTGTGATGGCGACTAAGTCATAGCTGTCCTGGTGCACAATGGCTTCCAGCTGCTCCTGTTTGGTGCCCATGCTGCATGCACTAGTGTAGATGCACTTGAGCTGGGCTATTGATTTCACCCCCAATTCCAGCATGCCACCCCTAGGCTCATGTCTAGTGAGCCTGGTTTTATCCCCTTCCCCCTTCAAATGTAGTTTAAAGTGACTGTGGCCCAGACCCTTTCCTTTTAATTCACTCCTGTAAAAATGATGAGCTGTGACTTTTGGATAACTTCCCAAAATTCTAAACCTTAAAGGTCTGGAGTGGCGGCTCCTGTTGCAGGTTCTGTAGGAATAATGGTATGTAATGAGAACTTGAAGTACCAAAGTAGGCAGACACTCTGACTTGCATTCATCTGAAAGTTTCAGGACCCAAGAACCTGCTGATTTTGCTGAGGTACTAGTTTATTTTTAGACTGAAAAAGTGTGTTATATTTTAAAGAAAAAGTTCTTGCCATGTTTTTTTCAGACCAAATAACCCAGGAAATACTAAGGTTCCAGACAAATCCTGTGCATGTTAGCCTACCTGTTTAGATGTGCAATATTTACCTATTTAATGGATTTAGGTCACTTTGTCCTCCACAGTGTCCAATGTGAAGCTTAGTTTTAATTTGGAAAACATTGTCACATATTCAATAAAAATATGTTTATTCTAAAAATAGCAAAATTAAATCCCCTAAAGCTTCTTCAGTGGATGGATTTCAAGCTATTCAGTCTCTTGGGGCTTTCCACTATACTGGAAGTGGGGCTGTTGCCTCCTTTAGCAGCTTCTCCAGTGGGTAGGGGTATTTCAAATATAGTTCCAAACAGATTGCCATCACATCTGGTCCTGTGTATGTGCTAGAAATATGTTCAGTCCACTCACACTTGCGAGTCCCTTGTTTGCCTTACTTAGTCTTCTCCACAAGTGCTTAGAAATGCCTCTAACCACATGTAATATGCAGAAATATTTGCTGTAATCAGTAATGACTGTAATTTCAAAGTGCATGGTGCTTAAACCTTTTCTTTAACCAGATCTGTGTGGGGAGCAGTATGTTTAGAGGTATATACTGTGGGGAGCAATATATTTAGAAACCAAGTACTTTCTTATACTCCTGTTGATAAGGGCCTCCAGATAGACCAAGACCACATATTCTTGGTGTTAGTCTGTGCTGGTTTGCAGTATTAGACTTCATGCAGCTGTCTGAGGAACTTTTTGAATAATGAATTTTAGCTACCCTGATCGAGACAAAACATCCCCATGAGTGAGTTTTCCTTTTGGTAGGTCGAAGAACCCTTGCTGTAATCACAAAGCTGGATCTCATGGATGCTGGCACTGATGCTATGGATGTGCTTATGGGAAGAGTGATTCCAGTCAAACTTGGCATCATTGGAGTAGTAAACAGGTCTGTCTGGGCACATTCATGCTATTTTTAAAACTGTTAATATGAAGTAATTCTTTTGGCTTTTTTAACCATGAATACGGTTTTAAGAATAAGGTGACTTGATATTGAAATAAACTTCTGCATAAGCGAGAAGCTTGTTGCTCACTTTTTAAAAGCCTGTCTGTTCTTCCAGTCAACCAACTGCTAATTTAGAAGGAAGTAGGGACACTTCTAAAGAACTGTAGTGTCACTTCTTCTTTCCGCTGTTTCATAGCTTGAGGATGCTTCTGGTCAGCTGTTCACATTAGCACAGATCCAGTACAGATCTTGTATATATTGGTGCCAACTGCATACGGCTATAGTACTGTTCACTTTATTTTTTGCATTAGCTAGGTCAAATCTCATGTAGTTTTGATAAAAGCATTGCTTAGTCTGTGTACAGCTGCTACCCATACTGATTTGTTGACTGCTGCATGGAACAACCAATCAAACCCTTTATTGTCTAAAGAAGATGAGTTATGTGTGTAAAGCAAAAACCAGCTGTTAGATGTCCTGTCCAGAAAAGCAGAAGTGTAAATCAATTTTACTTTGCATCTATTAACTAGTGTGTAACTCTGCCTTTTAACTTCAGGAGTCAGTTGGATATTAATAATAAGAAGAGTGTAGCTGACTCCATTCGTGATGAGTATGGTTTTCTTCAAAAGAAGTATCCCTCCCTAGCCAACCGAAACGGAACCAAGTATCTTGCTAGAACACTGAACAGGTATTACATATTATGTAAAATAAAATAAATGTGTGCTTCTATAAATTGGTGTACTAGAAATATGTGTAAACATTTATTTTTACCTTTTCTTTCTCATTTTGTGCTGTATAGAGATACATTAAGGAAAACTCTGTTTGGTTCCAAATTCAGTTTTGAATTTACTGTAATTTTCCTGAGTAAATGTTTTCCTTTGGTGATTATTTGCTATCTCGTCTCTGTTTTAATGGAGACGATAAAGCTGAAACTTCCTTTCTTCACATGAGGGACTATTTTCTATTTTTAGACTACTGATGCATCATATCAGGGATTGCTTGCCAGAATTGAAAACCAGAATCAACGTTTTAGCTGCTCAGTACCAGTCTCTACTAAACAGCTACGGGGAACCTGTAGAGGACAAAAGTGCCACTTTATTGCAGCTTATTACCAAATTTGCCACAGAATATTGTAACACTATTGAAGGAACAGCAAAATACATAGAGACTTCGGAGCTGTAAGTACCAAATGGTTTTCTAGAATATTGACTGAGCAGTTAGATCAACCCAGTGGCTCCTGTTGGCTTTCATTGGCAATAGTACTACACTAGAGTGTAACATATTCAAAAGAATCCAAGTAACTGTAAAAAAATCTTTGCAGTGAGAGCTTTTTTCTTGTTTGCTACTTCAGTTGTTTTTTTATTCTTTCAGATGCGGTGGAGCCAGAATCTGTTACATTTTTCATGAGACCTTTGGAAGAACTTTAGAATCTGTTGACCCGCTAGGTGGCCTTAACACAATTGATATTCTGACTGCCATTAGAAATGCTACTGTGAGTGCTCTATTTCTAAGTGTTGTTGCTATATACTGAATTTCAAGATAAGGTTTCAGTAAATTTGTGCTCCTTCAGTCCTGTGAATTAATGATCTCAGCTGAAAGAGTTAATATGAAGAGGCTGAATCATGCTTTTTAGTATTTTAAGTAGAAAAATTACAATATCCAAATTTGCAGCCATTATCCTATATGAAACGAGTTTAAGGTGAATGCGTACATCTCATTGCTGTCATTTGCAGGCTGAAATAAAGCTCAGGCCCAGTTTTGGCAACCCTTTGCTGAAGCTATTATATATTACAGAAATGGTGATGAAAGACTGCCTCTGCATTGATTTTTGCATTAAGCACTTCTGTTAGTTATGAAAACAGTCTGAGATGTATGGGCTAGGACAGATTCAGCTATTTTAATTCTATATAAGGGCCACAACTCTTCAATGGTTCAGTGTTTACATGACAGATTTGGTGAATATGGGAGTTGGTGTTGCTAAGAATTAAGAATAAGTTAACTTTTAAATTTTGCAGTATATAGAATGTTCACTCCTTAGAGCTTGACTTTGGATGTCAAACACGTAAGTCTGCCTTTGTACTGTGTTCTGTTGGGTGTGGACAGAAAGTCAAGTTTCTGCATGGTCAACAATTACTCAAACTTGGTGTGCATTAGGTACTCTGCAGCAATGATCTCTGTGCATGCTCGTATCCTTCTGTAAATATAAAGTGTAAACTAGCATTTAGTAACACGAGAGATGTCTTGTTTTTATGTGATATATCACATCTTTGTGTTTCTAAAGCTCATTTAATTGGAAAAAAAGAAGGACATTTCAGGTAAAAAATGTTTTATCTATAGTTAAGCATTGGTCTGTATGGTCATAAATTAAATTGTTGCAAAGATTGTAAATCAGTGACACTGTATTATGATTATACTTAAGAGAAAACCCATCTACCCTGCAGTAAGAATTGAATGCCCAGGACTGTCAAATAAATAATGTTAACTTTTCTCTGAAGTTAGGAAGATAATATCTTCGCCTTTATAATAAATTTCATTTAAAGTTGGATCCACAAATATGAAAAGAATTGTTCATAGTTGTAAGCCTAGAGTGACATTAGTAGGTAGAAATCCTCGAGTTTCTATAAGGATGCTAGTTAATCATGATTTAATGCAGAGTTTATCTTAAAGGTAATAACTGTATGTTTTACAGCTTTTGTATTTAAATATTCTTATAATGTGTTTTACTCTTAAGGCCTGTTCTGAGTGTTCTTTTGAGTGGAGGCACTGTGACCTGATTTATTCTGGGCTTCATCAAATACTACTACTTAGAAATGCATATTGTTTTAATACACAATTTAACAGCTTTTTCCCTCTTTTTGAACTAGGGTCCTCGTCCTGCCTTGTTTGTTCCTGAAGTTTCATTTGAATTGCTGGTAAAAAGGCAAATCAAACGTTTAGAAGAACCTAGCTTGCGCTGTGTGGAGCTGGTTCATGAAGAAATGCAGAGGATTATCCAACATTGTAGTAATTACAGTACACAGGTAAAAATGCATGTTTTAGAATTATGTTTGTAGTTATTTGGCTTCCCCTACCTTCCCTACAAAATTCTGGAAGTCTCATCAGTAAATTCTTGTTTTGTTTTTAGGAATTATTGAGGTTTCCTAAATTGCATGATGCCATAGTTGAAGTAGTAACCTGTCTTCTGCGTAGAAGACTTCCTGTCACAAATGAAATGGTAATTTTCTATCTACTACAATTCTGTTGGAAAAGTGTGTGTTTTCTGGAGTCTTTCTTGATGCTTCTGTTTGCTTTCTAATGTCAGGAACCCAAATTATTAGAGGAATCTTAACTTATATCTGTTAAATAGCTAAGTATTTAGTATCTACACAGTTTGAAACTTCTTCTATATTAGAAGATAGATACATAAAAAACAAAGGGATGGGGGAACTCTCTTCAGCTTAGGGTCCCTTATGTTTCAGTTTTACAAGAAGAATTTTACTAAAACTTGGATTTAACGTCTCCTAGTCTTTCTGGTATAGGTGTATTTCACTCCCTTGTAACAGAAGCTGTTCAATTACTGTAGAATTTGGGATGCAATGATGAAAATGAAATTTCAGTCCTTATTCTGTGTGTTTCGGAGAGAAAATCAACACGAAATGTTGATTTTGCTTGTAATGCCTTTAGCTACTGAGGACTAAAAATTCAACTTCCAGCTTTGAGTAAATATGTTTTAACATAAAAGTCTGCTTTGGGCTGCTTATTCGTGAGGAAACAAAGTGTTTCAGTTATTGACTCTGTGTATGTTTGATGTGAAAAGCAAAAATTGTTCTGTATGCTAACTATTCTCCATAGTGAGCCATCTCTCACTGGTTCAGATGATGTATGTAGCTTGTGGCTGGAGATGACTATATAGCTCACTTCATTACTCATAGCTTACACTCATTAAATTGCTGAGTTTTGCTTTTTTGTTGCTGGAGAGGTGTTAGCTTGATGAAGCTACCAGTTAAACTGATGTAACATCCAAAACGGCTGAAGGTCTGAATGTATTGCAATGAATGAATGAATTCCCTTCTTGCCTTCCGGATCAGAACTTTTATGTCTTTGGGGCAGTAAGAATGGTCTTTTGCTATGGTCAGTTAGACTATACTTTAGTATTCTAGGTCATTGCTCTTCACTAGCATTAGATTTACGCACTGCATTTCTGAACTGTGAATGACATTGCATTGCAGGTTCATAATCTAGTGGCCATTGAGTTGGCTTATATCAATACCAAACACCCAGACTTCGCTGATGCCTGTGGTTTAATGAATAACAACATAGAGGTAAGAAAATCCATTCTCTTAAAAGGTCTTTCGGCTCCTTTAAGTGAGAGCCTAAATAATTGGTAAAAGAACAAATGCTTCAATTTCTTTCATTGAAGCATGGTTCTACATACTGAAGTATAAAAATGTGATATATTACAAATATGGTGTATACTCTTTATCTTGTGATTTGTTGAAACGTGATATATATTAAAATGTGATATATTACAAATATAAAAATGGAGTGTAAAAATGTGATATATTACAAATATGGTGTAAACTTTTTATCTTGTGATTTGTTGATTTGTTAGATTTAAATTGCATGTTAACATTCAGGAACAGTGGTTGGTATTTCACTAAAAACAATTCTGCCTGTATTTCTGTCTGGAAAATGAGATGGGCACCTGATTGAGTATTGGCTGTTAAATGAAATTTTTGGAAGAGAAACTTTAAATAGGTAGTTGTAAAATGCTCTTTAACGTTAAAGTAACTGCATTTTGTATCTGACAGGATGTATCAATAGCTATAACGTTACTCTCATTCATGAAAGGGTAATACAAGGTTTGTTTCCTCTATTCAGGTTCTAATTCCTGCTTCCTTTTGGCATTGTTCTTGAATCTCTGTGTTACCATGCTTCAGTCTCTCTAAGATAATTTTCTCCATCAGTCTCCCATAAGCTGCTTACAATTTCAGTAGTCTTTCTGTTTTTCAAGCCCAACTTTGATAATATTTGTTGCTGTCATCATCCTATAGAAGCAGTTGTTCTACAAATGATCTGCTCAGTTCTTTTTTGCCATGTGATTTTTTTGCAGCACTTCATCCACCTGGCTAAGAGCACGCTAATATTCTTGTGTTCCCCTGCTTATCCAACACATTCTTTCATAGTAGTGTTCTTTTTTTAAATGCTTGTGTTATCATTTCTGCTCCTTAGTTATAACCTTTTACTTTCTTCTATACATAAATTTTGTGTTGAACGGGTATGCAGTTGAATTTGCCTTAGTACACTGCTCTTGAATCTAGTTCAGAAACAATGTGTATGCAAACTGCCGTGAGTACAAAAATTAGGACTTTGTGATGTTGAACATATGAGATTATTGTATTATTGTGTATTACTTAAACTAGTTCTTTCCCAACATGTTTCTGAACAGGACATTGAGATTTTTGAAGAAACAAAGCACATAAAACATCTTATTCTTATTCAGTGGACAATCAATTCTGAATTTCAAGAAAAATCAGATCTTTGTTTGTCCTGATTGCTTCAAGTACTGTTTTTCTATAAAGTGAATTCTGCTGCCTCTTTCTTCCTTTTAGGCTAATCATAGCTAACCCTGCTGGCCACAGGATCAAATCCTTTGAGATTACTTTGAAGATTTAAAGCTTAATGAGGGCTGTAGGGTATCTATGGTGAGCCAAACCGTGTAGCTTTGATCTTGTTTTTTAAAGGCTCTAGTTTTGATTATGGAGTGTGTTGCAAAAAGTTTTTATATTGAGAATTTACTTTTGACCAGGTAATCAGAGTAGTTTTACTCAAATAATTGAGGTTTTCATAGGATCATAGTATGACTACATGACAGTGGATGAGATTAAATTTACTAGTGTTTGTCTCCAAAATGTAAATCGTCTGTAAAATATGAATCTCACATACATGTTGATACAGAGTAATACATAATTCAGGTCTTGCTGGATTGTTTTTAAAGGAACAAAGGCGTAACAGGTTAGCCCGGGAATTGCCTTCTGCTGTGCCACGAGACAAGGTAAGTAAATGTTGATTTTTATTTCTTTATCTATTTAAAGTTTAATGCATTCTCCTTTGATCCAATCTAAGTATTGGAAGCTTTGATATGCGGCCCTAGTAACAGTCTTGGGAGCTTCCGGGTATTGACTTTTTTTCTTTCAATTTCATAAGATAGAAGTGGAATGTTATTTTCTTCTTCCAAAGAAGCAATTTTTGGCAGGTTTTAAATCTGGGATTTCTGAAGACTTGCCTTTAAATTTACATTAATATTAAAACTTACTACTTGCATGTCATCTGAGGTAAGGCTTAAAATGTCTGCAGATGTTAAAGATGGAGTCAGAACTTGCATACTTCAATTTATGGGTGACACACACTGATTTCAAGAAATAAACAAGTGATTTGAAATATTCAGTGTGCCAACATAGTGACTTGGTGGGTGGTTGTTTTTTTTTTTTTAAAGTTACTCTTAAAACTGCAATTTATTGCAGTCTTGCTTTCTTTGGGATGAGGTGGTGGAGGTTATGTTTTCAGTTGATCATCATAATCCAGTCATGTATTCTGTCTCTGGAGCCTGCTTAGTTTTACCAGGTTTTGGGATTAGTTCAGTGACAAATAAGTAGATGGGTGGAAGAACCACGTGTCATGGAGAACATCGACTGTCGGTAGAAATGAATGCTCTGACAATCAGCTGGAATTTTAGGCAGTTAGGTATTTAATATTATGTAAAGTATTTAGAATTCAAATATACAGACTATAGTTTAAGCTTCTCACAAGTTGTAACAGGAGTTACTACAGCTGATAGAAATCAGTTCATTAAGTTTGTTAGCTTAAAAAGTGAGACAGAGTCCCAGAATGGATCTAATATTACTGCCTTTAATCAGTAGAAGCCAGCTGATGGATGAACTGGGAATTTAAGGTTCACTAGGGATTGCTTTCAGTGGTCTTTGATCCTTCTTTTTATTGACTTCATATTTATATCATCAGTGTAGGAGCTGAAATGAAATTGACGGCCAGTAAAACCAAAAAGATTCTTAATGGTCTTGGAGATGCTTTTTCTTTCAGCTTATATTACTGTTTTGCTTGCAAATTCAAAATATTTTCTTTTCTGGATTTTTAAAGATGCTAGTAGGTAAAAGTGTATGAAATTTGCTAGGTAGATTTGGTGGTCTTCAGTTGAATTTTCTTCCCCCCCCCCCGCATTTTTACCTTCCTTAGTCTACTAAAGCTCCAGGTGTATTGACACCTGCTTCCCAGGAGACTGTTACTGCTGCTTCTGCTGAGGCTGATGGCAAGGTCTGTCTTGATTTTTCCTATAAGCACTGCATGCACATTTCTGTTGTGGTGCACCGCAGATAATACGGAAAGCAGTTTGTATTTAGTGCTCTGTCACTGACACGGTATGCCTTACAGAGTATAGACGACTTGGCATTAATGATTTTAGTATGTGCAGTGCCAAGCAAAGATGTGCCATTAGGTGGCAAAGTCACTGCTTTCTGATTGAACTCTTGGTTGCTATATATTGTGGTGCAAGTATGCAGCATAATTTGCCTCAAACTGTAGTCAGTAGATTGTTTGGTGCAACAGTATTGTAATCAAAAGTGTTGAGCATGGTTGTTAAACTGCATGTTTTTAATGTGTTGACAGTTAAAGAAGGAGGACAGAAGATAAGCTAAAAATGTGAGTTTCCTGCTTCCTGCAGGGAATCTTTATAGGCTTTGTTCAAACTGAACCTCCTTTTTGTTGTTTCACATAATCGTTCAATCCCTGGTTTACTGATATTCGTGAAATGTGTTCTGCAGTGGTTTTTTACACTTTAGGTGTGCTTTCTCTCGTGTTAAAATAACAGCTCATTACTGTAAAGACATTTTTGCTAATAACTTTCACTTGGAGTCAGAAAAGATGGGTAGTCACAAGTTTGTGTATTAAGAGTACTAAGATGACTCAGGCTTTCTGCTTCATTGCATATGCACATTCAGCTTCCAGTGCAAAACTGCCATTTCTGTCCTGAACAAAGTAGTTAAAGTCAAAATCTAGTCAGTAGAATTTTAACTATTATTTTCATTAGACTTTTAGAGGTTCTGATAGGCTGCAAACATAAAAAGAAATCAAGAGCTGCTGAAGATACTGTTGTGACTTAAGAAGTTGCAGGAAGCTACCAAACTTGGTTTGTGTTTCCCACAAAACCTGTCCTTTATTAGGTGAAAGATACTCAAGACTTTTTCTTGTGAAAGGATGTAGCTTTGTTTCTGAAAAAACTTCGGAGATTAGAACAGGCTCCACAGTAATACTGAATGAGCGTGGCATAAGGATTTTTGCCATTTTGAATGGCTGTCTTGTAGTCAGAAATAGCGTAAGGGAGCTTTCCTCATCAATGTCTCTCTCTTACTAACAGAGATTGATTTGAATTCTTATAGTGTATTTTTTACAGCAGCTCTGAAGTATTGTGAATTTTGATATTTCTGATGTGCACAGTTTAGCTGGGTTTCCTCCTAGTATGAAGCTGTTGGTATTCTAGTTGCCATGCTTTGTTTCTCATGCTTTTTTTTAGACTGAAGATCAGCCTGTGGTGTTTTAATTGTAAACACAATAGATAAATTTGGCTTACTTCTTCTTATATCTGAAAGAAGACACCTGTAGTAATAGGTCAGAACCTTGAATGACCTTGAATGTTTTTCAAACAGCAGTAGATTTTAAAGCACAGTAGTAAATAGAACAGATACTAGGCTTATGGAAAGGTACAAAATAAAAATTACCACTGTTCCACATCAAAATAGACTGTTTTTTGGTTTTTTTTCTAAATACTAATTTAACAGGTGGTGCATACCATCTACTGATATTTCTTTTGTCCAGTGATTCCTAATGTTTAAGAGTTGGGTGTTATGTCCTTTTCTCAGGAGATCAGGGAGTCATTCTTTGTCTGGAACTTCCCAAAAACTCTGATCTTCACTTCCAGAGGATGGAGATTTTTTGTTTTGATTTGGTACCAGAAAAAAGCGTTCTGTAAATTGAGGTCTGGCAGCACAAATTACATTCGTAGTTGTGGTACCCGGAAACATAAATGTGCATATTTTTTAAGTGTTATTGTAAGCACCTTCAGTTTATATTTAAATTAAATACCAAAGAATTTAAATTCAAGTCTTCCAAGAGCTGTGGTGATCTTCAAAACATACTTTCAGAATGATGTGATAGCATAGGTTGTATTGCTCCAAGGATGTGTGGTAAAAGTGGTAAAAGCCAAATGGTTTAGGAAGACCATTCCATGTTTCAGGAACGCTCTTTCATTCAGGACCCTAAAAATGCTGCGGAGCTTCTCTATGCGAGGCATTTTCGTACCATTATTAGTAAGAATACAATTTTAAAAGCTTTTACTTTACTGGTACTTTGTGTCAACTGTAAGCAGCAAGGGGAGAACAAAGGTGGGGAATATGAAGAATAGAATGAAGGGAATATACCTACAAAAATCTATTTTTTAGTGAGTCTTATTATAGCTCAGTAGTAGTAGATTTTATGAGACACTGCTTTGCGGTGCCCAAGTCCTAACTCTCCAATATTTCTTCATTGCGCTGTTTGTGCAGGCTGCTCCTGGAGCAGGAGATATGTCTCAGGAGCCGGGAACAGGCAACTGGAGAGGAATGCTGAAATCCTCAAAAGCAGAAGAGGTATCAGCAGAGGAAAAAGCCAAGCCGGCTGCAGCCCTACCTGCTAGTCCTCAAAAAGGACATGCTGTAAATCTTTTAGATGTGGTGAGTCATGAAAGTCGAATACCTCCTCCTTGTAGTTCAGGCTCAGGAAAGAAAACATCTGAATTCCAGATCTTGTAACTTTGCTGCTAATATATGCTATCTTTGTAAATAATTACCACTATAGGGACAGGGAGCTCTAGCCAGTCTCTTCTCCTTTCCTGCTTGCCCAATCCTTCTTTTTCTGCCCACTCCAGTTTCAGCTTATTTGGGATAACTGGCTTCCTTTCACAAATTCCTGTGCTAGTGAACTCCTTGTCTATATCGCTGTCCCTGCAGAAGCAAATCTCAACTCATGTCTCAACTCAAATGCCTGCTCTTTTTTTGCTAAGTTGGCATTTTTATATTGGAGGAAAAGAATCATTAAAAACAAAAAACACTTAAGTTAAAAATAGATGGAGATCCTTTAAGTCTTTGGAGAACTTAATTCCTTTAGTGAGCTTTTAAAAATAAATTTAGTAGTGGTGCTCTCTGACCTTTGTTTCACAGATCTGGATTTTGACATGTCCATGCAGGACAGGTTACATCTATCAAACCAACAGACTAAAAGAGCAATAGTTTATTTTAGACTCCACAGTTTGAGTAAACTGCGGTTTTTATTTTTCTACATAGCCTGTACCTGTTGCACGCAAACTTTCTGCCCGTGAGCAACGAGATTGTGAAGTGATTGAACGACTTATTAAATCTTACTTCCTTATTGTCAGGAAGAACATTCAGGACAGGTAAAACAAAACTTCCTAGAAATGTTTAAGGCGTACAAATGTTGTGATATCTCGAGAGTTATGCATATAATCTTGTTATTTTATCATTTATATTTGTAAGCAGAGAGAAAATATATATTTTTTTTTTTTTTAGAAGGGGCAGTGGCAGTAAAACTTGAACCTTCACAGAATTAAGAAACCTGAAGAAGCACTTGTTTTGTCTAATGGTTCGAGTTCTGTATTATATAAAGTAAAAGGTTTAATTGATTATTTAGGAGATGCCTGCTTTTCTGGAGGATACTGCAATTCAGATGGATGATTTGCAGCAAATAACTGGAATGCACTCTAGGTGCTGTGTAGTCCTGACAGAACTTAGCCTTGCCATCCTGTTACTTCAAATGGCAAGGACAAATGGGAACTACCACTGCTAAGTTTTCTAGTATTTAGCCATAAGGGTGGAAATAGCATAAAAGTGATGTTTCTGTTGTATGCAACTATGGAAAATGCCTAAATTTAAAGTTTTGCTTAAAATTGTCATACTTTTTAAAATTAAGAACAATGTAAAACTTTGCTTTGCTTAAGTCTTTGTGGAAATACCTGACTTCAAATTATTTTTTTATATAGAGAGAGATATATATGGTAAATTGCGGGGGGAAATACAGGAATCTGGAAACCAGAGTTTAGGGCGGATTAGTGAGGTCATAGAAATTTTATTATATCCAGTAAACTAATAGTCCTCAATTTTTAGTATTTCATGTCAGGGAATTACTTTGTTTACCTTACTTTTACTGAAGTATTAGTACTAGTAGTGTTACCGCCTTGGGTACTCTAAACAAACCCTTCATGTTCTTTGCAGTAAATATGCATACATAACAAAATAAAAAGCGCTCTCAAACATTATAAATTTGATGTATTAGGACATCCTCACCTATTTCAGAAATGTTTTTAGGAAATACCTCTTGAAGATGGTACTCATGTCCATCCCGTATCATACTTTAGAACTAATTCAGGCTCTTACTTGGATAATTTGGATGGTATCTGTACCCACACAGGTTTGAACCTGAGTTTTGGGTTGCTTTTACTCTTACCAAGGTGACTTCTAAAATATTCTAGGCTTCTTTCTTAAGTTCTTCTTTTGGTAGAACTTGCAATGTATTGTCTTAAAAGGAGGATGTAAATTGAATTATTTGAGTACTGATAGATATATACAGTGTCATCATGATTTCGCAGAAGTCTTCCCACAACTGGCTAGAAAGAACTATAAAGCAGCAGAATGTAGTGGGAAAATTCCCACCTAAACTTGGGAGTATGATTTCAAGAGCTCAGGTGTGATGATGGGTCTTGGTTGATCGTGGGTCTGGCTCTTTAGACTTGCATGGTCCTTGTCAAGTTAACTCTGCAGTAACAATTGCAGCACTCTTGAGAATGAGCAAAAACTCTTGATCTGCCCACAAAAATGATTTTGATTTAGATCTCTCTATGGGCACATGAGAAGAGTGATGTGGTCACTACTGAACGAGTCAGTAACAGTTTGTATGTTAACTCCCAGTGCACTCTAGTTGCAAAATACTGCTGCTAAGAATTATAGCAACAAAGCTAACATGTTTTATTTCTCAGTTGGGAACAACCGTCAGTATTTTTATTGTCAGTTAACTGTCACTCTGATGAAATAACCTGAAGTGCCTTAATTCAATTTCTGATCCTTTGTTTTTATCGCCAGATTTTGGTACTGCTAGTATGATGATTTGATTTTGTCAATAATGTGTAAATATTTCCCCCCACTTTTTCAAAAGAGTACTGCTACTCATATCCTAAGTCCCAGAGAAAATCAGGTTCAGCTACATTCAATACTTGGAATTTTTTTCAGGAAGCTTAGTGGCATGGAAATCGGAGCCAAGACAGTGGTTTCTTTCAGGTGTTTTAGCCTGACATAGAGCTGAAAAATACTGTTCTACAGATTCTGTGATGCCTTTCTGATGGCTTGTTCTTGAATCTCATTGGCTGCTGCCTAAACCTCCATGCCAGAAAAATATATTTTTCACACTTAAACTCGGTTTGCAGTTTTAAATTGCCCTCACCTTATGTTCTCTGATATCAGAGATGATGTGGCCCAGTGTTTGAACAGTGATCCTCTTCTCAGTTTGTCTGCTAAGTAAGACTGGATGTATGAATTCTTTCTTTGCCTCTTTCCTTTCTCACTCACACATTAAGATTGGGCTGAAATACTTTACTTTTTGTCATGCCTAGCACAGTAGAGGCTCAAGTTGGTCTCCAGTGAGTAAAGTAATTTATTCTTATTTTTTACACTATGTGTATCCATGTTCTTTACAATGCAACTATCCTATTTGGAAGAAAATCAACAGGTCTTAAATTGCACAAGATACTGCATTTACTTGAGAGAGAGGTTTTATTTATGGTAGTAGTAGATTCGTGGTAGTTTGAGCCAAGGTTGTGTGTGGCTGCTTGCTCACTCACACTGTGCATTCTTCAATCTAGAGCAGACCTGGTTTTGGATACTTCTTTCTGAAGAAACAATCTTTATGTGCTTGCAGTGTGCCAAAGGCAGTGATGCATTTTCTGGTGAACCACGTGAAAGACACTCTTCAGAGTGAACTGGTAGGCCAGCTGTATAAATCCTTGTTGTTGGATGACCTTCTGACAGAATCTGAGGACATGGCACAGCGCAGAAAAGAGGCAGCTGACATGCTAAAGGTATTAAAAGGATCAGAAGCTCATGGGAGTAGTTAATGAAATCAAAATCCAAAAAAATCTCATTGATATGAAGACTTGCCTTCCTTTTTTCTTTGCTGCTTTTTAAGAGTATGCTGGTGTATTACTCCTCTCTGCTAGAGGAATTAAAAGCAGTATGTGACCAGGAAGTATTACATAGATTGAGTACTTGAGAAGAGGTGATTTAAACTGTATTTTGCGCATAAAGCAGAAGCCCTAATCTGGTGTTATTTTCACTTATACATTTGGTTTTAATAATTTGCTCTTATGTAACTTTACTTTATAGTGTTCAGCGGTTCTCTTTTGGGAAATTAAGCATACAGTCTTTTAAGTGCCATTCATTTGTGTGCTTCACCTAGAGCCTACTGGCTAATGGCTGGTGTACCTAGACAGTTACCCTGAAATATGAACAGTGGGAATGTTGGCGCTCACTTATGATGACCCCAGTGTACGTCTGTATGACAGTGCGTTTGTGGCATGTACGTGTTACAGAACTCTTCACTTGCTCATTATTCAGTTATGTGGTGTATCAGAGTCTGCTGCACCTACAGCAGCAATACGCTGCTTTGCACTGAACTGCATAGAAGAGAGTCCCTCTGCCAATTCAGCTCACTGAAGAAGTAGCAAGAGGTGCTTTTCTTTCATGTGCAGTGTGGTCAGACAGTGCGTGTTTGAGAGACTGGATACCCTGAAATACTGCTTGTCCAAGACCACCTGCAGCAAGTTTAATCTTTATTAAAAGATTTTATTAAAATCTTTATTAACTGGCAGTTAACGCTCTTTTAAATGGTAAACTTTATAGGGCCAAACTCATAGCTCAAACTTCCCAAATTGGAGCAATACTTTAAATAATGTTAGGATTAGTTGGTATTCTTAGCTTTTAAATTTGCAAAGTGTAGCAGGCTAGACTGCTGAATGCATCAGAATGCTAGAAGTGATATAAAATAGGTGCAGTTTTTCTCTTCTATTTTGAGGAAGCGTTAAAGCTGTGTGTTGTGAAAAAGTCTGCCCTTCTTGAGAATTTATTTATAAACACAAAATGTTAAGACAAACATAGGTGTTATTTGGAACACTGGGTATGCAGAAGTTGCTCAAAATGATGACAGTGAGCTCTTTTTGCTTCTAACTGGAAGTTCAGTTTTCAACTAATTTTTAATTGTTCTCTCTCTAGAGAAATGATTTAATGACACCTATGCTAAGTTTTACCATTATCTTTTGCTTTGTAGTGTTTTCCACTTGCCTAATTTTTTCCAGAGGGAAGGCTTCAGAGTTGTTAATCAGTAGTGTTGCAGGTTGTTACCACTCATTTCCTGATGAAAATTATTAGCTTTAATTTGATTTTTGACATCACACTTCCTAGACTGCTGCTGTTACCTCTCTGGGAAATCTCTTCAGAAAAACCAAATAACTTTGCCTTTCCTGTCTTTCTGTGTGCAGGCCCTGCAGCGAGCCAGTCAGATCATTGCAGAGATTCGCGAGACACATCTCTGGTGAAGACTGTACCAGCCGCACTATTTATATGCATTGGAGGTTACACTGACTTGAAAATTGCTAGGCATGGTATACGGAGTAGAATTTTTTTATTTATGAACTCTTATCTGTGTACTGCAACTGTGTAAATCTGCTCATGTAAAGACAGTTGGTTTGATTTGCAAACAGAAAAATATGCTATATTTTGCAAAATAAGTCATATTTAATCCACATAATAAATGGCTCTAAATGTTTCCTTACCAGCTTTCTGGTGCAAATTAAAGCAGACCGAGTCTACTGTCTCATTGACAGTCTCCTTTGAACTTGGGAAAAAACATTAAAGTTCCAGTGCCTGACTTGCTAAACAGGTTGCCTGTGGTTAAGATGGATGGTGTAGTCTTGTGGCATAGTTTTAAGCTGCTTTTACAATAGAAGTTTAAATACTGTGAAGAGAAGAGAGCACCGAGTATTTCTTTTCATGAATATATTGCATGTACTATGACAGATGGAGGTATCAATTTTATAGCACAGTAGAGACGTCTACCGCATTACTATGTATGTGTGTCCCCATTTTTTTCCCCAAATGTTAGAACTGCAGACAAAACTTTGAACTTCATTTAATGGAGTATCATGTGGGAAGAATTAGCCTGGAGCTTGTGAACAGTAACAGCCTACTAAAAAGTGGGTACAAAGTTGTTCATGTGCACTGGAGCTTGTGTATAAATGTTTGGGATTATAATTAGGTACACAACCATTTTCCCCTTTCTCCCCTGTGGGACCAAGCCCCTGGATCATCCTATAGTTAATTTGTTATGACAGAATTGAAAAATAAAAATGGATTTCAAAATTGTAATGGGATAATAAGTGTTTCTTTTAAAAACAGATTAAGTTGGCCAGGGAGAAGGGGATCCCCACAACTTATTCCAAATTTTGGAATGTATGACAGTATGGAGGAAAGTCTGTGGGACTGGAATATTTATGCCAGAGATTACAGTTACTTTTGAGGAAATTTCACTGTGCTGTAAGTAGCTCACTTTTTTTTTTTTTTTGAGGGCAATCCTAAAATTAGTGAATTTTAGGTTGGACATTATGTTGCTGAGTTATTTTCTTCTGATTATAATTCATACAGATAAATATTGATCACACTAGTCTTTAAGAAGTAAACATTGTAAATTTTATGAATAAAGATTTATTTAAACTCCAGCCAGCACACTTCCATGTACTTTTCAAGCAGATTCACTTTTCGGTATAAAGTAAAAATGTTTACTATGGTGTTGCTGATATTTTATCTTTAACACAACTTGCATGAAAAATAGGACACTGCTGTTAACATCCATGGCTTGCTTTTACAATATTGGGCCAATATAGTGAGGTTTTTATTACCATATTCAGTTCCTTTCTCATTTCATCAGGTAATGGAAATAGAATTCCTTTTGTAAGCTGCTAAAGACTGAAAATGTAAAAAGTGTTAAAACCTCAGTTTACAAGAAGGTCTGTTTAAAACTCTATTTTTCTCATGGTAATCTTCAGTTTGGCAACAATACAAGCACAAGGAGTGAGGTCAGACATGCAACTTTTGCATAGTTTTTGCATGATCTGAAATAATTCATGCAGACCACAGAAATATGTTCTGTATATTTAAACAGCCTAAAAAGTCATGATGTATGCATTACATGTAATGAATACAAAGGAAGTAATTTTAACTTCCTGCATTGTATCCAGGGATGGTAATTCTCAACTTGAAGTGCAAGCCACTTCTCAAATCAGTTTTGGTGAACAGTGGAAGCTTCTAAAAGTTTTGTCAAAAACATTACATTTCTGTTTGGAAACCACCTCATGCCTCTCTCCCTTTTACTTTCGACACCTAAGAAGTATGTTTTCAACAAGGTAGAGCTGTCCGTAAGTTAACTGCTACCTAAGCTTTTAACTCCCGAAGTTCAGTCAACAGTCTCTTGTGAAGAAATATTCTGACTTGTAAGGTTTTGAAATGCTGCGTAAAGCAAGCAAATTCCATTTATTTAAGAAATTCCTGCAAGTGATAACTGGCTCTGTAATGTCATGTGAAATTTCCACAGTGTTAACTTGTTTTTGAAATGTTATGACTTTTTTTGTTTGTTTCACAAAAATTTTCAATCTGGTAATGTTTGAGTGCCAAGAAATGAACTTGATTTGTAATCCTTAATGCAAGTCTTTAAAAATCCATGCTGTAACAGTCCTGTTATTAAATAAACAGATAATACACAAAATAAATTATCCCAGAAATAAAATTTTGAACTCACTTGTAGTTCAGGTGGCAGGACTTACATGCTCTTACAAGTTAATAGTATAAATACCTATATTTGTACAGCCTTATGTGTGTTTGCACTTGCCCTCCTGCAATTCTACATTGTTAGTTCTTGTATAGTTGCCTAAGTCATAGTGTAGACAGGCTGCTAGTGGCTATTAATGACAATCTGTTGTCTAGAACTGAACTAAAATACTTAAAATGCTACTGTTACTGCCACCATTAAAAGAAATTATGGGGAAACCGTGGGGAAAAAAGCCTAATAAAGACAGCAACTGAAAAATTCCCAGATTAGTCTGATGGTTTACAAATGTCTTATAGTCCACCTTAGTTAATTTAAGCTAGAAATACTTCTGTCATCAGTGCACAAATTTCAGCTAACTTAAAATAACTTGCTATCCAGTAAAACACACAATCATGGGGGAGAATGATCACTGTAGCCAAGTTTAGATTGGTAAATGTTTGACATTAATACCTGACCTATGTGTGGTACTACTGTAAATAAAACATAGTATCCCTAGGTGATTAGTTTGTCAGTAAATTACTTGGGTATTTTAGGAGTCAGTTTCAAATTTCACTTAGTGGAATAGATGGGTAAGGGGTTAGTCTGTGTGCTTCAAACTGTGTTCTGAAGTAAACATAATCTCACATGAAACTTGCCTTACCCTCTGCTTTATGGAGGATTGACTTTGAAAGATGCCAGATTGGATACTGCAAACTCGGGTCCCTGCTTTATGGAGTACAGTAGGGGAAACAATTTGCCAGTCTGTCATGCCCCTGTTGGTAACTTGGCTTAAATTACCTTATCTTGATTATCTATCTTTTTTTCCACCCCCCAGTTAAATCCTTTAGCTATGAGAGCAGATTGCCTGCTAGTTTTCTGTAGAAACTGAAGATGACAAATGCATGTGCCTTAACTTGTTGCCAGTTAAACTGTGTGGTTTGAGGTGAGAGCTAGATTATTAATACTTCAGAGTTTAAGAGAAAAACAAAGTAGACCACCAGAATATGGTTTTATGCCCAAATAGCGACACTTTGTTTCAACTAGTGAAGGTGTTTTTGGGCTCTGATAGCTCCCTTTTAGTTTACTTGCTGCATGCCCTTTCACCCTTTACTTCTTTCATTGCTAAGTTGCCACAATAATTTTAGTGAAGTCCTCCAGTTTTTGTTGTCCCCAGATGCTGTACACATTTGGTTTTTAATATCTATCTGGCCTAAATAACTGCTTTTCTTCTTGCACTTCCAAATCACACATTTGTAGACAGCCTAAATACTTTAATATTAGTTTCTACTTGCTTACATTTGAACAAGCTATGTCTCTGATTACCTGAACACACCTGTTTTGGGGTATATAAGAAACAAGACCAGGCTAAGAAAGAATACTCAATTTTTTTTGTCATTCTTGATTCTTGACCTAAGTATTCAAATGCTCAGTTGTGATACCCCATACAGTCATGAAAAGTAGCGGTTGTGTCCAGCTGTTGCTTTGGAAAGAGTCAGGGAAGGGTCAAAAGGAAGCACAGTATAAATATCTTGGAGTTTATGGATCTTACTAAAAACCTTGTATGCAAAAAATTTAATTACCTTTTTTGTTTTTGTAAAAATAAATCCATTTAATATGTGATCAAAGTGGGTACTAACACTTTTCCACAAATTTCAGCTTTTTTTGATCTGCACCATTTGGACATGAAGCAAATAAATACGGCAGGAGAGCAATCAGACCTGAAACATGACTTTACTCCTAGGAGTTTATTTCCTGCAACCAGAAAGTAACTGTCAAATCTAATCTGTTTTGTTTCTCAGGAGGCTAACACGGGTGTGTACTGGTATATTTTGTTCCCAGGTGCATGTTTCCCTATTGCTATAGTCCTTCTGCCATTTAAGGAACAAGGAAGCTATATTAAGTGCATGAACATACCTTTCTATGCTTTCACATCAAAGTTGTGATTTTTCCCTCCATATGCTTTCTTAGGATAGCTCTGATCATTACTGCAGGTTAAGGCAAATTAACAAGCAACACAAACCCGCCCTGAGAGCTAACAGGGTATGTACAGCTTTTTTTTTAAGGTACGAATGACTCTACTACTTTTTATTTTTCTTTATATAATGAGATATCTCTGTCATAATCTGTTATCAGGCAGGTAAGTGGGATGCAGAAACTTAAATTAATACTAGTAACTCCATGGAGCGAGCTACTGAAAGTACTACCATATTACAGTTTAATAACCTGAAGAAACTGTGATACTGTATAAGCAGCAAGCCACTATAGTTCATTACTATAGAACTGTTGATTGACAGTGCAAATAAAACTACCATCAAGTTGATCACATCAAGCTGATCAACATCAAATAAAAAAAAAAAGCCAGAACAACCCACCTAAAAAAACCAACAGAAACTCCCCACCCACCTATAGAATCTATGGATTCTTGAGATGTATTAACATTTCTTGTAATTTCCCCATTCTTCTCATAGGTTGGGTGGCTTTAAACCAGCTCAAATAACACCACAAGAGATGAATTGTCACATTAAAGTAGGTAAGATTAAGGCCTCTCCCCTTGTGGCTGCTATGACTGCAAAACTGTATTGTCTAGGAGTTTCATGGACTTGGAGATGATTCTTCTTGGCCTATGAGTGAGGATTACTCTAAACCTTGAAAACAACACTGCAGACAGCAATCAAATCACCTCATAAATCAGACAAAGTTTCATAATGTGTTTGTGCTGGGGCAGGAAGGGTCCTTTAAAAAAGTTCAGAGCCAGCCAGCTACATTACTGCAAGTCAATTGACCAGTTCTAGGTAATTCAAATATGGGCTTGTACTACAAATAATCTTAGTAACCACATGTGGAGTTTGTTGTTGTTCAAGTGACCTTGCTGTTCAAGTACTGTGGCACCTATATTGCCTAAGTAACCCAATCCCAAACTCACCACAGGAAGGGACTTCAGCAAGGTGTTCCAGTCCATGCTTACTTGATTCCAGGTGTGTAAGCAGCTGTTAGTGGCTACTAATAAAAAGTGGTGGTGTTTTGGAGCAATAAAGCAATACTACCTTTAAATGTAGATGTTGCTATTCTACCAGCTCTTGAAGTACACTCTCACCTGCATGCTGTCTTTACAAGAAAATTAGCAAGCTATGATCCCAAATGTTGGCTAAGGCCATAAGCAGTAGGATCACTTTCTGGTCTTTCGTGAAGAAGTGCTGCTTTTGTATGTTGACCTCTCTGAAGGGTCTGCCTTTAACTGCAAAAGCACTATAGCTGCCCTCACATGTTTCCTGGTCCAGATACCTTTGCACTGCTGTTCACCCACAATTCGCAGGCACTTAAAAAAGCCAAGTGAGTACCACCCATGTTGTAAGTCACACTAAGCACACAGAAGGCATAAAAGGGATTTATCAGGCAGATTTAAGCTTTGAAAGGGTCTATACTCACTTGCATTTCAAGAAGTGAATTTGCTCTGTATTACCACAGTAAGGCTGGAAAGCTTTTATGCAGTGTGCCCCCGTACATAAGCAATAAGAAGCTTACATACTAGGACTTAATCATT